AGGGAGTAGGAGAAGGAAGATGAACGCGAGAGAAGGACGAAGAGAACGATAGCGAATGTGGGAGGATGAGGAAAAGAGCGATGGCGGGGGAGGGATGAGGAGGACAACCTTGACAAGGAGAAAGGAGGACGAGGACAACGCTGACGAGGGAGAAAGGGAGGAGGCGCGCGCGCGCGAGAGAGAGAGAGAGAGAGAGGGAGGGGGGGGGGGCGTTGTCACCCACCTGAAGTCCGGACGCGCTCGCCCTGCTGCCTCCTGCCGCTCCTGCTGCCCGCTGCCGCTGCCGCTGCCCAGCAGCTGCCGCCGCTGGCTGTCCCTGCTCAATGTCGCTGCCTGTCGCCTACTTTCTACGACGGCGATGACATGAAGACGGGTGCGCATGATGGCGACGACAGTCAAAGGGAGATGCTTTTGACGGCTGCGGGGAGTGGGCTGGAGGTTGGGGAACCCCAGCTACCAGCCGCGGAGCGTCCAACTTCGAATTCGAAGTTGGAAATCCCAAAAAGCTTTTCGGGCCTTGGCGCGGGCGCAAAATAAAATTCGCCGCCGCACCCGGTTTCTCGTCCCCTGGAGCTCTTCATTCCCCCCACAGGTGGATCGAATCTGGCCGTCGGATTGCCACCAGACAATCCACGAAGCACTATTGTGAACAGTCTCCAACAAACAATGGCGCCAAAATTCGCCGCCGACAAAATTTGCCGCCAAAACTCGCCGCCAAATTTCGCCGCGGAATTTCGCCGCCGGACATTCGCGGCCGCGCCACACCACTCTCGAAGTGTGAATGTCAGCTTGTCACACAGAACAAGCCGAGTGCAGGGGCGACGACCGTCTTCCCCCGAACACAACTCACCCTCATTTTGAGCGCATCGGACCGGAAACCTAGCCTCTATACATTCATAATGAGGGTGCGTTGTGCTCGGGGGAAGACGGTAGCAAAGAGGATTGGATTGAGCGCACGGGCGTTGCCAGCTTGTTACCCAGAACCAGCCGAGTGCAGGGGCGAGGTCCCACTAGCAAAGATGATTGGATTGAACGCCTTAATTTGGCGGCGTTTGTGGACAAGTGCAGAGAATCGAGATTGAACTCCTTTTCTGCATCTCTGCCTAAAACACGCCCAGATTCAGGGTCGTAATCCAATCCCCGTTGCTTGTGGGACCATGCTCCAGTTGTAAGGTCCTCGCCACACCACTGTAGAAACGACAGAAGTACTACCAGGGGTAGTGCATCTTCCCACGAGGAAGGGCAAGATGCATCCGTTGATATTCGTTCTTTCTACGTTTACGTTTTGGCAGTGGTGTGGCGAGACCCTAATAAGACGCCATTTCGGCCTCATAATTGGCCCAGCCTTTTGCGGCGCCCTTTTCCTGAGGACAAAGCCGTTATGAAGAAGGTCCTAGCTCAGTGGGTACACCATTGAACTGTTGAAACACACACCCGTGTTCGAACCTAGATGATGGAACTTGATTGATGAGTAAAACCAAATATTTCTGAATTGCCTGGGGCCGGGCAGCTCAATGATGATCTCTTTTTTTTTTTTTTTTTAGGGAAAAAGCAAGGAGTCCATTATCATGATATAAACCATGAGGGACAACCATGAGGGAGGGAGGCGGCCGCGTAAGGTGCACTAATCGGTGCGTTAGCACTCGGTTCCAGCACCGCTCGTCGTTTGACGGGCCTAACCGGCGGCAGGTGTTTCCGACGTGGTCTCACAGCTGCGGGTGGTAACCTAGTTCCCTCGTCTCGTCGAGGGCCTAGTTCCCTCGTCTCGTCGAGGGCCTAGTTCCCTCGTCTCGTTGAGGGCCTATGGCGATGGCTGTAGTTGAGGTTTCCAGCGGTTAGAGTGTCTCGTCCGTCGCCTTCCTGCTTAGCACTGTTGAGCTGAAGTTGAAGCGTTGTGCAATTCTTGGTGGATTCTGCTGTTTAACCTTCGTACGGAGGGCGATAGTATTTCAGTGTCCTACCCCAGGAAGGTGGAAGGATGGAGGTGGAACCGCCTGGTCAAGGCGAGAAAGATGGAAGGGCACAAGTTCCGGGTGATTACCGTTTGGAGGAGGAAAGGGTTAGGGGGATGGTCAGGGCTTGTTTTGAGGAAGGAATCCTTCCAACGAACATTGCCCCTGGTGAGATGGAGGTTACTGGGAGAGAGGTGAAGTTTAGGCTGAATGCCTCCTTGGATGAGATAAAAGTAAGATGGTTAAAGGAAAGAACGGTAACGGTTATCTTTCGTGACGGTGCTAGATTCCTTCCCAAAAAAGTGAAGGAGGATGTAGTGAGAGC